GGAGCTGGGGCGCAGGCCCGGGGGGGGGGGGCGAGGGGTGCGAACCACCACCAGCCACGAACCACGACGAAAAAAAAAGAGTTCCGCTGCCCAAGGGGCTGCCCTGGGAAGCCTGGGCGGAAGGGGGGTCCCAGGGGGGGGGGGGGCACGACGAAAATAAAAGGTTCCGCGGCCCAGGGGGGCTGCCCTGGGAAGCCTGGACGGAGGGGGGGTCCCAAGGGGGGGTGGCCCAGGGGAGCTGGGGCTCAGGCTCAGGGGGCGGGGCCGAGGGGGACGAACCACGACGAACCACGAACCGCAACGAAAATAAGGATGTCCGCGGCCCAGGGGGGCTGCCCTGGGAAGCCTGGACGGATCAAACCTCCGAAGGGTGGGTGGCTCAGGGAGGCTGGGGCTCAGGCTCGGGGGAAGGGCCGAGGGGGGCGAACCACCGCGGGCCACGAACCACGACGAAAATAAAGGTTCCACGGCCCAGGGGGCCTGGACGGAGCAAGGCTCTGAAGGGGGGGGGGCCCGGGGAGCTGGGGCCCGGGCTCGAGGGGGAAAGGGGCCGAGAGTGACGAACCGCCACGAGCCACGAACAACGACGAAAATGAATGGTTCCGCGGCCCAGGGGGGGCTGCCCTGGGAAGACTGGATGGAGGGGGGGGTCCAAGGGGGGGGGGGGGGGGGGGGGGGGGGGGGGCAGGGGAGCCGGGGAGCCTGGGCGGAGGAAATCCCCGAAGGGTGGGTGGCGCAGGGGAGCTGGGGTTCAGACTCAGGGAGGGGGCCGAGGGGGGCAAACCACCGCGAGCCACGACGAAAATAAAGAGATCCACGGCCCAGGGGGGCTGCCCTGGGAAGCCTGGGCGGAGGGGAGGTCACAGGGGTTGGCCCAGGGGAGCTGGGGCACAGGGGGAAGGGGGGGGGGCGAGGGGGGCGAATCACCACGAGCCACGACGACAATAAAGGAATCCACGGCCCAGGGGGGCTGCCCTGGGAAGCCTGGGCGGAGGGGAGGTCCCAGGGGTGGGTGGCCCAGGCGAGCTGGGGCTCAGGCTCAACGGGGGGAAGGCGAAGGGGGGAGGCGCGACGAAAATAAAAGGTTCCGCGGCCCAGGGGGGCTGCCGTGGGCAGGCTGGGCGGAGGGTGGGTCTCAGGGTGGGTGGCCCAGGGGACTGGGGCTCAGGCTCAGGGGGGGAAGGGGAAGGGGGGGGGGGCGAGGGGGTGCGAACCACCACGCACCACGACGAAAATGAATGGTTCCGCGGCCCAGGGGGGCTGCCCAGGAAAGCCTGGGCGGAGGGGGGTCCCAACGGGGGGGGTCCCCAGGGGGCTGGGAAACCCAAGCGGAGGAAGGCTCGCAAGGGTGGGTGCCTCAGGGAAGCTGGGGCTCAGACCCAGGGTGGGGGCCGAGGGGGGAGAACCACCACGAGCCACGACGAAAATAAAAAGTTCCGCGGCCCAGGGGGGGTACCCTGGGAAACCTGGGCGGAGGGGGGGGCCCAAGGGGGGGTGGCCCAGTGGTGCTGGGAAGCCTGGGCGGAGGAAGGCTCCCAAGGGGTGGTGGCCCAGGGGAGCTGGGGCTCAGGCTCAGCGGGGGGGAGGGGGGGGGGGTCGAGCGGGGCGAACCACCACGAGCCGCAACGAAAATTAACGGTTCCGCTGCCCAGGGGGGCTGCCCGGGAAAGCCTGGACGGAGGGGGGTCCCAAGGGGTGGTGGCCCAGGCAGGGCAGCTATGAAGCCTGGGCGGAGGAAGGCTCTCAAGGGTGGGTGGCCCAGGGGAGCTGGGACCCAGGCTCAAGGGGTGGAGAGGGGGAAGAGGGGGGAGGGGGGCGGCGAGGGTGAATAACCACAGCGAACCACGACGAAATTAAATGGTTCCGCGGCCCAGGAGGGTTGCCCTGGGAAGCCTGGACGGAAGGGTGGCCCCGAGGGAGGTGGCCCAGGTCAGGCTCAAGGGGGCGTGGGGGGGGGGAGAAGCGAGGGGGCCGAACCACCACGATCCATGACGAAAATGAATACTTCCGCGGCCCAGGGGGGCTGCCCTGGGAAGCCTGGGCGGCTGAGAAACCTGGGCGGAGGAAGCCTCCCAAAGTGGCCCAGGGAAGCCGGGGCTCAGACTCAGGGAGGGGGCCGGGGGGGGCGAACCACCGCGAGCCACGACGAAAATAATGGGTTCAGCGGCCCAGGGGGGCTGCCCTGGAAGCCTGGACTGAAGGGTGGTCACAAGGAGGGGTGGCTCAGGCGAGCTGGGGCTCAGGCCCAGGGGGGGGGCCAAGGAAGCGAACCACCACGACCCACGACGAAAATAAATGGTTCCGCTGCCCAGGGGGGCTGCCCTGGGAAGCCTGGGCGGAGGAGGGGTCCTGAAAGGGGGTGGCTCAAGGGAGCTGGGGTTCGGGCTCAGGGGTGAAGGGGGTGGGGGGGGCCGAGGGGAGAGAACCGCCGCGAGCCACGACGACGATAAAGGGTTCCGCGGCCCAGGGGGGCCGCCCTGGGAATCCTGGGCGGAGGACGGGGTCCAAGGGGGGTTGCCCAGGGGCGATGGTGCTCAGGCTCAAGGGAGGGGGTGGGGTGGGGAGGGGGGGGGGAGGGCGAGGGGGGCGAACCACCGCGAGCAACGACGAAATTAAAAAGTTCCGCGGCCCAGGAGGGCTGCCCTGGGAAGCCTCGACGGAGAAGGGGGTTCCGAGAGGGTGTGGCCAAGTGGAACTGGGGCCCATGCTCGGGGGGGGGGGGGGGGGGCGAGGGGGGCGAACCACCACGAGCCGCGACGAACATGAACGGTTCCGCGGCCCAGCGGGGCTGCCCTGGGAAACCTGGACGGAAGGGGGGTCCCATGGGGGGGTGGCTCAAGGGAGCTGGGGGCCTGGGCGGAGGAAGGTCCCCAGGGGTGGGTGGCTCAGGGGAGCTGGAGCTCAAGCTAAAGGGGGGGGGGGGGGGGGGGGGCGAGGAGGGCGCACCACCGCGAGCCACTGCGAAAATTAACGGTTCTGCGGCCCAGGGGGGCTGCCCTGGGAAGCCCGGGCGGAATGGGGGGGTGGTCCATGGGGGGCGGCCCGGGGGGGCATGGGCTTAGGCTCCGGGGAAGGGGGGGGGGGGGGGAGCGAGGGGGGCAAACCACCGTGAGCCGCGACAAAAATAAAGAAGGTTCCGCGGCCCAGGGGGGCTGCCCTCGGAAGCCCGGACGGAGGGGGGCCAAGGAGGAGTGGCCCAGGGGAGCTGGGGCCCAGGCTCAGGGGAGAGGCCGAGGGGAACGAATCACCGCGAACCACGAACCACGGCGAAAAAATATGTCTGAGCTTTAGAGCGCAGCTGTGCAAGATAGTAAGGAAGGAAGATGAGGATGTTGTCTGTCCACATCCCTAGCAGCACACAATACCAAAACACAGAAAGGGCAGCGCAGAGCATGAGGGCTGGCCATGGCGCATGGCCACGACCAACCACATATTCTCATTGGCAATCACGGGCATATCCACATGACCACCCACAGCAAACGAAGGGGGACGCCCAGCCAGTAGGCCGGACGTCAGAGCGCACAGCGCGCGAGGGGATATGACCAAGCGGTCAGAACCCCTCTGGAAGTAAGAGAGGATAGCGCTCATGTCCAGGCACCCGTGGTAGCTGCGAAGCTATGAGAATCTCTGCCCGTGGCCGGGCGAGGATAACCGCGCTGTAGGCATGCGTGCCCGCGTGCCGGCAAAGGGAACTATTCGTCCGAGTTTGAGTAGTCGTCCTCATTGGTACCCGCTGGCCCTGACTAGGGCGCCCCTGGGTTGGCGCTGCGTCTTTCTTGGCTACTTGAATGACTGATTGCCTTCCGACGCTTGCAGCAGTAGCGCGCGATCGGTGCGCCCCTTGGTAATGCCGTCAGCGGTCATATCTCGTGTATCACACCATTATACGCTATGAACTACATCTCGGTCCATCATCTGTCTGATCCAGCTGATGCGCCCCAGCAGGTTGCCTTCGGTCGGATTCTTCAAGTCCTTACTTGACAAGGATTCAAAGACCGACTCAGCGTCTATAATAAGGATGCCCTCAGTGCTGAGACCACCAAATTCCGCGCTGTCCTTAAGTTGAGTGGGCGTTACGGCCCTGGCCTTAAGCTCGCGCAGCGTAACTCTGGTAGGGTCGCAGTCCTCAAGATTATGGGCGGCTGCCAGCGTTCAGCTGAGTAGCTGGAGCGCGCCCGCAAGCGATGCGACTTGCAGTATGCATCAATCAGATGTACTACCCCCTTGCCATTGGGCGCGCGTCAGCGCAGTGAAAGGTCGGCCCCTCGGACGCCACACCCCCTGACTTC